ATATTAGGTCAAACTATTTTTTTTATCGTTTTTCGCATACGAACCCTAATTCTAGCATGTTATTATTAGAAAGCAATAAAGTGCGAATTTAAAATTACTAAGCTATTACAAAACCAAATATGGGAAAGGGGGTACAAATGTTCAAATGGGGATATTGACGAGAATTTAAATCTAAATTATTACATCAATTGGATATTTGCAATGCATAATTAAATGTAAATTAAATAAATATGTAAAATGTAAAAAGGAAGTTTTTATGTGTATGAGAAAATATTATTTTATATAAAAGGGAAAAGAAAATAAAAAGGTATTTATTTTTGGAGTATTTTGAACTTAGGGTGGAAAACCCTAATTTTTAAATAAAAGGTATTATTATCTAATTTAATTCTACTATTTATTTATTATTTACAAAAATAAAATAAAATGAAGTGTATTGTGAAAAAAAAGTATTCTTTGTATCAACTATTAAATAAAATAAAAAAAAAATCAAATATTTTTATATTTTGTCTTAAATATATTAATAATCATATATATGTATTTATACTAACCCTAAATATGTATTATTCTTAAAAATAAATATTTATTTAATATTTTAATAAGATAAATAAAAGAGTATTTTTTTGTGTAAAATATTTTCAGAAAGTAAATAAAATAAAAAGTGTATTTACATTATTTTTAACATTTTATTCTAATAATCATATATATATATTTATGTACAAACTAAACAAATAAACAAATAAATATGCAATAAATGCAAAAAATGATGAAAAAAATATTTTTAATTTTTAAATGGCATGAGGTAAAATAAATAAAGTCAGCAAAAAAGGAAAAAATCAAAAATGTTCAAAAATAAGCATATGGGCTCAGGGGGGTGTAAACCAAAAAAAGATGGTGTGAGAAGCAAAACAAATCCAGGCCCAACCCACTTCACTCCTTCTTCAACCTCCAGCACAGATTATTTGAAAAACGCGCGCCATGTTCAGTTCCTTCTAACTCTTGATTCCTGGCTTTTTAGCAAAAACTCATAACACAAGAAATGTTCAGCATGAAGAGACGGTTCTAACCATATAAAGAACTTGACCTATCTCTCTAAGATGAGGGAGAATTTCTCTCCCCCTCTTTTCTGACCTAATTTTCCTACCATTTTCAGAGCTCAAATTCTCTCTACTCAGGCAAAAGAAATGAAAAGTAAAGCTATGTACATGTTCAGGGCTATGAGTAGGACCTTGTTTCTTCACAAACTTAAGACTAAAGATGCCTAATAAGAGAGATACGAATTCAAACTTTTACCTGTGCAGTTGAACTTCTATGTGGAGAATGAGAGACTTTCAGTGCAATGTAATGATTGGAAAAGCTTCCTTGAAGTCCAGGGATGCTTTTTCAATGCCTACTTTGTCTTGAACCTTCTTGTATCAAGCTGTAGAACTTCACCTGCAAGTCAAAGATGTGAAAATGGTGGAAGTGGTTAGAGCAACTACAGATCGTGCCTTAGCTTCTGGATAGCTTGCATAAGTTGTGAGGAAGGTAGAGGAACAGGTTTTGATCAAAATGCTTGCAGGGATTGAGAGATTGCACTCAAACTGCAGGGGCACCCCTGTTTGTGCAGTTTGAGGATGATTCTGAGATGGAGGGTGTATTGGAGGTCAAAAACTCGTGTATTAGCTTGGATATGTTATGTGTAATGTGTTTGACAACTTTGTTCTTCTGTTTCTATGCTGGTATGAGAGATAGCATAAGTTATGGATGTTACTTCTATGTGAAGCAAGCAAATGTCAACTTGGTTTCTAGGCCAGTACAATGCCTCAATCTATGCTGCACATTTGAGTCTTGGTCAGTGGGATATGCCCATGCCTTTTTGCTTCAAAGATCTGCATTGTACCTCATAGATTTGCAAAGTTGCCATAAAGTAACACTTTACAAGAATGGATAATATGCTTTTTCTAGTTTAGGCTTGATTTTGTGTGTATTATCCAAATGAGCAAAATAATGCTAGAACACAAAGGATATGCATTGAATTATTGAGTGAAAATGGGATTAGAGGCCTGCAATGTAGCTTAAGCATGCTGAATTCAAATTTGCCAAGTTTATGAACATGCTTTGATGAAGAACAAAAGTGAATTTTTGCCAACTTGTGAAATTCGAATCTCTCAAGTTATGAGGTTGTTTGATGAGTTCTTGGACATTTTGGAAAGCTTGGAATGTGTACTACAATCCATCTTTGAAATGCAATTTGAAATTCCAAGTGGAAGGGTATGAAAAGTGGCCTTGAAGTAGGGTAGAAAACCTTGTCAAAATAGGTCAAATTTCACTAAGTTAAAAGATGGTTTAGTGCCCTTATTCAAAAAATCATAACTTGAGATACAAGCTTCAAATGAGAAAACTTTGTGAATCAAAGTTGTAGATTATGCAACAAGCTACAACTTTCATGTTTTGACTTTTGTTTGAATCCAAATGGATCATGGTGAAAAGATGGGGCAAAGTTGGGAAAAAATTAGGGTTTTTCATAACTTAGAAAAATTCTAAGTTATGAAAAATTCCATTTTCAAACCCTAATTTGCATTTTGTGATTTCTTGGTGAACAAGTTTCATGGTTTGGCATGTTTTGATGAAAAATGAATCTTGACTCTTGATTTTGACCAAAAAGTCAAAGTTTGACTTTTCAGTATACAGTTAAAATTGATCAATTGACTGGGAAATTCAACTGTCAATCTTGTGTACTTGGGATCTTTTGAGCTTGATGAACATGTCAAGATAATTCCATGGGGTCCTTGAGTCCATGTGAGAGCTTGGTTTGTCATTGGCTAGGTCAAACAGTCAAAAATTGCCTTTGTGCAGTCAAAACCCTAAAAATGACCATTTTGCCCTTTTGGTGATCTGATCAAATTTCTTGTGGAATTGTGATCCAAACTTGATCAAATGGTCCATATGAGTTCATAATGTTGATGTGGATCAAATTTCATGAGGTTTGACTGTCAATTGGCCACAGTTGACTTTTTCCCCAATACAGCTGATTTCTAGGTCAACTGTCCAATTGACTGGGTAAAACTTGAAGTCAAGACTTGAAACTTGGTATAGGTAAACTTGGGGGTCCAACATGAGGCATGAAAGTCATCTTAGGCATTTTAGGTCAAAACATCTTTGTGCAAGCACAAACCCTAATTTGAGTCCACAGTGCAAGGAGAAGTCTTGAGCAGAGGAAACCCTAACTGGATCTTGATCTTCAAAGGTCTTGTGATGAGAAAATGTTGAGGAAATGGGAGGGCAAATTTTGGGGTACAACACTCACCTACTATTTCTTTCACTCTCTACTTCTTTTACTATCCTCACTGAGCAAAATCTTTTTTCTTTTACTGTCCAATATATTTTTCTTTATATATTCTGTTCATTTACTTTTTATTAATGACAAAAAGGGCAAAAAAATGAGAGTATTTAACGAGTTTGATAAAAAATATTTTCCACATCTTTTATAAATATCCTGAACCCACTATAATGTTATATGCTTATATATTGATAAAAATATTTAATAACTTGGATAAAACATTGGGGGAGCTTATAAAACTCAACCTATGAACTATTAGACTCAGAGAGAACTTAGAAATCTCAGACTATGAAGTTATCAAATTACTAAAACAAGTTTAAATAATTTGGATAAAATTTAGGGGGAGCTTACAACCCAATGTTCTGGTACTCTTTGGTATGTCTAATTTAACTAGTTTCACCTCTTCAACTCCAATGTAATTGACAACCTCTTCAGAACTAATGTGATAGGTATCCTTTGGCCGATTTAGTTTAACTATTCCTTCCTTCTCAAATTCAATTTTATGGTATCCTGTGGTCGGTTTAGTTTAACTATTCCTTCATTCTCAAATCCAATTTTCTGGTACTCTGTGGTCGATTTGGTTTAACCATTCATTCCTTTTCAAATCCAATTTTCTAGTACCTAGTGGTCGGTTTAGTTTAACTATTCTTTCCTTCTCAAATCCAATTTTCTGGTACTCTGTGGTCAGTTTAGTTTAACTATTCATTCATTCGCAAATCTAATTTTTTAGTACTTTGTGGTCGATTTTGTTTAACTATTTCTTCCTTCTCAAATCCAGTATTTTGGTACCCTTTGGTAAGTCTAGTCTAACAAGTCTCTCCGCTCCAAGTCCAATTTAATTGACAACCTTTTTGGATCCAACTTAATTGATACCTTTTTATAGGTCTAGTTTAACTAGTTCCTCTTTTGCAAATCCAAACTGATTAGTATATCTGTTTAGAATCTCCTTTGGCGAGTTTATTTTCAGGTTTCGTCTGTCTTAGACCGACGTTTGTTTCTAAAAACTCCACCTTCAAGTGACTTTCTTTCAAATAAGGAGAAAATATACAATATAATTTCCCGTGGTCGCACCCGGAGCATAAATTTTACAATTCTATTGGTATTCAATCCTCTTTTATCTTGAATGTTCGAAAGGCTCGCGCCAATCTCACCATACATTCCGGTACATGTTGTTATGCTACGGAAATTTCAAAATTTCCGGTACAAAAGATAAACATATTAACTGAAAATTATAAAATTTCCGATTAAAAAATATCAGATATTTTAAAAATTCTGATATAATGTACCAGAAATTTTATAATTATATCGTAAATTTCTTACTTATTCAACAAATTTCTGATATCGTTTCCGAATTTGCGATATCGCCCTGAGAATTTCAAATTTCTGGTGTGGTATGACATATTAAAAAATTTTGAGAATTTTTTGAATTTGAGTAATTTTATCTCTGGAGGGTTTGAGAATTATTTTTACATTCTTTAAGGGATGACATGTATAATCCAGATGAGATGTTAATTTCTCGGAGTTGAAACGAGAAAAATTCAATTTAAATAAGCCCAACTTGTGAAATATTGTTGGACTCTAGCCCAACTCGTTCAGAGGAGGTATAAGAGTCATCACAAATCAGAAACAAGCAGAAACTTTGACACAGAATCGAATTCATTTGAAACTGAATAACACAAAAATGGGTGAATACGAATTCGAATTCGAAGAGAGAAAATACGAAGCAGAAGAAGAAGATCACAATCACAATCAGAACGATTCCTCCCCACAACCACCTCCTGCCGACAACGATCTCACCGACTCCAAATCCAACGTATTCTCTCTCTCTCCATCTTTTTTCTAATTCGCCGTTCGTTTATCTCTGTTTTCCCTACAATTAGGGTTTTCCATTCATTCTGTTGTTTTGAACTCTACTCTCTTCACTGTACTAGGGTTTTCATTTTGATTTCAATCAAAACTCAATATATGCAAATTGAAGATCTGTTTGTTGGTTCTGCTTTGATTTTGGATTATTTTCTGATTGAATTGTATTTTAATTGTGTAATTGTGTAATTGTGTAATTGTGTAATTGTGTAATTTTGTAATTATGTAATTGTGTAATGTATTGGTTGGTTAGTTCATCTATCACTGTGTACTGTTTTTCTCGGTTTGGCCATGCAGAGGGAATACATGTAGATGTTGTGGTAAGGAGAGTATATTAGAGGGATAGACCTCAAACAATTTGGTTAGAAGCATGGTCTCGGATAAAACATTATGGCCAAAAGTTGATCCACATAGCCGACCTCATTTAATGGATAAGACTTGGTTGTTGTTCTTGTTGGTGTGTTTGTTTGCCATTCTTTATAGTGTCTTAATGTTTTTCTTTCGAGTATATACTAATAATGAATAAGAAAATTATAATTTTGAAATGATGGTAGTTTGTTGAGTTTGTTTTTTACATGCAATGTGATATTGTATTTGCGATTGTGGTTTTTTTGTGTATATCTATTGGGTTCTTCTTGTTTCTCTGTTCCATGAAAGCATCTATTTATTTGCTGTGCTTATTTTTCACCCAAATTTTATATATGAATTGTCATTGTTGTTGTCAAGTTTGAAGACATGGGTTTGTTTACTTTCTGTTAATCTTTTGATTGTTTTTGTTGCAGCATGGTTCTCGTGATAATGAAAGAGAATCCTCGAGAAGTAGAGAAAAGGAGCTGGAGAATGGGAGAGATAAGGAAAGGAAAAGGGAAAAAGGGCGAGACATGGAGAGAAGCAGGGACAGGGATAGGGAGAGAAGCAAGGACATGGATGGGGAGAGAAGCAGGGACAGGGTCAGAGATAGGGAGAGAAGCAGGGAAAGGGGAAGAGATAGGGAGAGAAGCAAAGACAGGGAACGTGATCGGGATGTGGATAAGGATAGGGTCAAGGACCGTGATCACCATCATAGAGACCGACACAGGGATCGTGGTGAGAGAAGGGTGAGGGATAGAGATGACGATGATCAATACAGAAGCCGAGGCTATGACAGGTAAAAGTTATTTTTGGGTTTAGTGCATCAGCAGCAACATCAGTTTTATTTATTTATTTTATAACCAGAATGTTGGAAATGTTTTATTTTCAGCCAATTATTCTTTGTCTATTCATATATATTTTTTCCAATATCTATTATCTAACTTTGTTTGGTGGTATAGACGAAGGGACTACGATCGAGAGGATAGGCATAGGACTAGGCGCAGGTCTCGATCTAGATCAAGGTCAAGAGCTCGATCTGAGCATAGATCAAGGTCACGTTCTCGTTCACGCTCAAAAAGGTAAAGTTCCAGAAAGATCCTTAAAATTTGTGATTAAGGCGTGCCCTAACATAAATGCATATGTCGGGTCTTCCATTTGTAACATTTGACGTTCTGTTTAGTTCAACAAATAGTTAAAGGACATGCAAGGGGAGCTGGCATAATATTGTGAATCCATGTGGAAGGGACTACTATTTACTTTGTTAATTTAAGAAGCCATTTTATTTAAGTTTTCATGTCTAACATATCCTTGATAATTTGACTTTGTTAAATTACTCTCTAGATCATTTTGTTTCGTTATTATTTTTAATTGGTCCTTATAATTTTAACTCAACTCAACAATGTCCTTATATTTTAAAATTTTGTAACGAAGTTGCTTGAAGTTTTCACTACCTTAAATTTGTTATGTTGACTTGAACTTTGTGGTACTAACAATTATTTATTTGTTTATTTATAAATATTCAAGTGTTGGTCATTTGACTTGTAAAGGCCATACGATTTGCACAAGTGCTCTGCTCTCAATTTTGACAGCCTTGGTTCACCCATGTAATGATAGATGGTATTAAATTTACTGTAACAGTGTTGGCCTTTTGAGATTTTTGTGTGTGTTTGCTTTGTGTTGAACCCGCACCAAATGTTCTTTGAATCTGCAACAAGAAGTTTCTGCAGTCGTGTCCAATATGCATCGAGTATTCTTGGGTGCCAAAACAAACACTGTTCATTACAAATTTTTGGAACTTTACATGCTTACAAATATCTATTAAAACTAAAAGGACTTACAAGTTACCAAGTATTTTAACCTTCTAAATAATATGATTGCATCACCTTAAGAGTGGCCAACTGACAAGCGCCTGTATATTCATTATTTCAAATTTCACAGGTAGTGATAGGTTGCTTTGCTGCTCAATGATTGTAACATTTTTAAAACCACTCATTTGAGATTTGTGTTAGATGCTCTTAAGTTATCTTAGAATTATTTATCATATATTCATACACTTTCCTCTGCACAAAAAGTAACATTCATTATCGACAAACTAATTTGTTTTACTTACAGCAAAAGGACTAGTGGTTTTGACATGGCCCCCCCTGCTTCTGCGATGTTGGCCGGTGCTTCTGCTGTTGCAGGTACACTTTCATCATGTGTATATTACAAACATTTTTAATCTTAACTTCTTTCTCCCTTTTGTTGTTCTTGTTGCCTAGTATGGAAAATTCTTATCAAATTACAAGGTGTTTACTTGGTAAGATAAGTTTCAGTCGCTACCTGGTATATAATTCTCGAATACTGGTTTCCTTGGTGTGTAATTTTGTCTTTCCTTTTACTTAGTGATATAATTCTGGAACTAAACGGTGCTTTGGTTTTTTGTCTTGTGTTTGGTGTTTGTTTGTTTTGTTGTATGTCTTGTCTTATGCTCTAAGAAGGCAATGTTGGGCTACTAGCCCCAATGTGCTGACAATGGGCGTGAGCCGACGTCTGTAGCTTTTATGTCCAAGGAGGAATCAATGCACCTGTTTTTGGTGGGTCTTGTTCGTCTTCAACTGGAAACTATTACCTACTTTGGTAGACTTACAAATATTATCCCTAATGTTTGGTTACAGATTACAGTATTCTTTAATCTTATTGATAAAAACCTAATACATAATAAAAAAATATAATATAGTGATAAAGTAAATTTATGCTTAAGCTCATGCTGGTTTTAGCAGGAGTCGGTTGATACCTAATAATAATGTAACGGAATTGCCAAAGATGAAAGGTATGAGTTTTTTCTGAGATGTCATATCTGATATGCTTTTGTTTCACTTGCAGGTCAGATTACCGGGGCAAGTCCTGCAATTCCTGGAATGTTCCCAAATATGTTTCCCATGGCTACAAGTCAGGTATTTTTCTTTTTATTCCCAAATCTGGTTGTGCTAGACAATATTTTGTCAATTTCACCATGTTTTTTGTTTGTCTTCTGAAGTTGCAGCAATTTAATACACTCCCTGTCTTGCCTGTTCAGGCTATGACACAACAGGTAACAAGAATTTATGAGAGATGGTGTTAAACTTTTTCCTTTTCAGCATTACTTTGCTTTCTTTAAATTTGTCCCTTTTTACCGTACAAAACATATAGGCAACACGGCATGCTAGGCGGGTGTATGTTGGGGGCCTCTCTCCTACAGCTAATGAGCAGGTAATGTAGAGCAGTTCATTATGATCTTTCCCTGTTGGTTTCTGAATGAGTTTCTTATTTGCTAAATTCCCTATTTGCCTTTTGGTTTCCAATTTCCATGTTTCATAAATTGTTGAAGCTTTTTAGAGTATGTTACTGGCTTAGTGCACGTTCTCTTTACCGATTTTTGTGATTTGAGTAGGAAGCATGATTAAGTGGAGAGCATGCTGGGGATTTTTTTTAATCTGGCTTTGTCTGTACTACTTTTGGATTTTAATCTTTTGCTTCTAATTTTGTTATGCTGCAGTCAGTTGCAACTTTCTTCAGTCAGGTTATGGCTACAATCGGAGGAAACACTGCTGGTCCAGGTACATTATCATCTTAAATGGGTTGTGCCAGTTTGCTGACCTTATAATAATATTCCTAATTGATTTAATTTTATTGTGTAGGTGATGCCGTTGTGAATGTTTACATTAACCATGATAAGAAGTTTGCCTTCGTGGAAATGAGGTCTGTCGAGGAAGCTAGCAATGCAATGGCTTTAGATGGAATTATTTTTGAGGTATCTTCTCCTTTTAACTAAAACTGATGCTCAAGATCCTTTTGTTATGTGAGAATGCGAGTACATAAGTTTGTGTTAATCCTAATTTCATTTTTGATTCAGGGTGCACCAGTTAAGGTCAGGAGACCTACTGATTATAATCCTTCTCTAGCTGCTGCCCTAGGTCCAAGCCAACCTAACCCAAACCTTAATCTGGGTGCAGTCGGCCTATCACCTGGGTCTGCTGGGGGACTTGATGGTCCTGATCGGATTTTTGTTGGTGGAGTTCCTTATTACTTTACTGAAACACAGATCAGAGAGCTTTTAGAGACTTTTGGTCCTCTTCGGGGTTTTGATCTAGTGAAAGATAGAGAAACAGGGAATTCAAAGGGTTATGCGTTTTGTGTTTATCAAGATCTCGCCGTTACAGATATTGCTTGTGCAGCTCTCAATGGAATAAAAATGGGTGATAAGACCCTTACTGTTAGACGGGCTAATCAAAACACTAACCCAATGCAGCCTAAGCCTGAGCAAGAGAGTATTTTAATGCATGCACAGCAGCAGATTGCTCTCCAGGTATGATTTTGGATTGTATTTCTTGCATAGATCTTTTGTGCATATTTTTGAAATTTTAATCACTGAACTTTTTATTTTGTAGAAACTAATGTTACAACCAGCATTAGTGGCAACAAAGGTGCTGTGTTTAACTCATGCAGTTTCTCCTGATGAGCTCAAAGATGACGAGGACTATGAAGAGATTCTTGATGATATGCGACAAGAGTGTTCCAAATTTGGTAATGTCCGAGTTAGTTTCCTTATTTTTCCTTGCAAACTATATAACTTATAAATTCTGCGTTATATGTTTGTTTTACAGCCTCTTGTAGTCACATAGATAATCAAACCCTCCTTAACTTCCTATCTCTATGCAATCTTATTTCATTGAATGCTTTTAAAATGTGCATACTTAACTGTTTTCCTTTACACAATCTGCAGGTAATTTGGTGAATGTGGTGATTCCTCGCCCACGACCCGATGGTGAACTATGCCCTGGAGTTGGAAAGGTCTGTTCTTCTGATCTATTCTTTAAGAAATTCTGTTCCCTTTTGTCTCGGGGGTCATATTCATAATCTTTTGTTTGTTGTTTGTCTGTGTTTCTGCTTCAGGAAATAATGGCGTGATTCATGCAGTCAATCTCACCTAGCAAACAAAGCTTTTGCTGTTGTTTTGTTATATAGAAATTGTTTTTCTTATAGATTTAATTGATATACAAAGAGTTTTAAACATGCATCTTATGATAGGTTGCCACATCATTTTATGAGTATGACAACTATTGTGTTTCTAACTTGTAAAATTAAAATGATGTGACAACACATCATTGGATATAAATTCAACTAATTTCTTTTTGTCAAAATACTGCATTATTTGATTCTAAGAATTTGTGTTTTAGGGGCAACGATTATATGCAAAAATTGTGTCTGTAGAATCAATTTTGTACTTGTTGCAGGTATTTTTGGAGTATGCTGATGTTGAAGGTTCTGCAAAAGCTCGTGCTGGGTTGAATGGAAGAAAATTTGGGGGAAATCAAGTAGTAGCTGTCTATTATGCCGAGAACAAATTTGCTGAGGGCGATTATGAAGGCTAATTTTGCCCTTCACTTGTATTGTATATGAGTTGAAGATTTATATTTGCTGGGATTATTAAAATTTTGTATTACTAATGAATCATTGGCTTATATTACAGAAACTGTTTTATTCAATTGGAGTAGAAGCACATGATAGATAATTTGTCAATAGGTTTATTCTATACAATACTGATACATGGTTTCTATTTTGTCACTTGAGATCTTCTTTAAGCGTTTGAGTAAAGTTTGTTTTGAAGTAGACTTATATTATTAATCAAATTTTAACTTGTTTGCTAGTGAACTGATAATGATGTTAGTGTTTGAACCATCAAAATAAGTAGGAATAACTACTTATCTTCCACATCTATTTGAGTTCTGAACCATCAACCTATTTATAATTGAAATGAGAGTGAGTAATCAAGTAATTGAAATTAAGTGGTCAATAATTTTCAATTAAAGCACTCTGAAAATTTGACTTTAAGTTCTTACAAATAAGATGTTTCAATTCAAACTATTGGTTCTGAATTCTGATGCTCCATTGTAGAAAGGATATATATATGGGAAATTCTTAAGTAAGCATGTGAATGTTATTAAGGCCGAGACTATTTTTGAATCGGATTGTAAATAATCTCACATAAAGTAAATAATTTGCAACTGCTTCATTATTTTTTTTAGGTAACATTTTTTGATGAGGTTTTTTATTTGCTAACAACAACCAATACATTTCTGGAAAGAATAAATTTTTGGTCACGAGATTGAGCCTTCAATCACCGACTGTTAAAGTAAAACTCATTATGTTAAATGTTAAGAACACAAACACACTACCAACCAAAAAGCACCAAAAAAGGTTCTCTCATTTTCACATTTCCCCAACCAATTATCACATGAATGCCATAAATACGTTATCATATAGTCATACAAGTATATTAGAATGCATAGTCCATTTGTGTCAGAATAATTTGTGTTCAATAAGATGAAGAATTTTATTTGCACATTCATGTGTATATGTTTGAGCCTAATTGCTACAAAATGTTTGTCTCAGTTTCAGCCACGGCTACCAGAGGGACAACAAGTTCCATGTTTCTTCATATTTGGTGACTCATTGGTTGATAATGGAAACAACAATGGAATAGTAACACTTGCCAGAGCCAACTATAGGCCTTATGGAATTGACTTCCCACAGGGTGCCACCGGTCGCTTCACCAACGGTCGAACCTATGTCGATGCATTAGGTAATAGGCTTATTTTGACGTATTTAGTCTCCAATATAGCATATTTTTGTAGTATGTAAAATCTTGATATATAATTGCAGCTCAACTTCTGGGTTTTCGAACATATATTCCTCCATATTCAAGAGCAAGAGGTTTGGATCTTCTAAGAGGAGCCAATTTCGCATCAGGAGCAGCAGGCATCAGAGAAGAAACAGGCAGTAACCTGGTATGCACACACATATAATGTTAGCTATAATTATAAGCACAATACTTATGTGATATGATTTTCCTTAATGTAGGGTGCACATACATCAATGGATGAGCAAGTGACGAACTTCGGAAACGCAGTGCAGCAGATGCGGAGATTCTTTAGAGGAGACAATGATTCAATGAATAGTTACCTAAACAAATGTATATACTATTCAGGAATGGCTAGCAATGATTACCTTAATAACTACTTCATGACTGATTTTTATTCAACTAACACTCAGTATACTCCTAAGGCTTTTGCTTCTGCTCTTCTTCAAGCTTACGCTCGCCAGTTGACCGTAAGTTAATCAATTATTTCAGGCATTTAATTCTAATCCAATCTACCTATTTCTAGTTTGATTATGATTGCATGCGGTCAAACCTTTATGTATCTCTATGAGTTTGAAATTAGGAAGCATTAATATTGTTGGATCACGATTTCATTTTGATATATTGTTGCTAATTTATTCTCTTAATATTGTACAGCAATTATATTCATTAGGGGCAAGAAAAGTGATTGTTGCAGCAGTTGGCCAAATCGGGTGCATACCATATGAACTCGCGCGTTTCAATGGAAACAACACCCGCTGCAACGACAAGATCAACGATGCCATCGTGTATTTCAACTCGGGTCTTAAACAGTTAGTTCAGAATTTCAATGGAGGACAGCTTCCGGGATCAAAGTTTGTGTACTTGGATTTTTATCAAAGCAGTGAAGATCTAGCTACAAATGGAAAATCATATGGTAATGTTCTTTTCTAGAATATTTTTTTGTCAACCCTACTGCATGAGAATTTCACCATCCCCTGTACAACTATCAATTGAGATGGTTTAACGGAACTATTTTCTAGGATCATGATAAAGGCATAATATGGTTTCAAAAGCTGATTTTGGACATTTTTGTTGATGTTATGAAACAGGATTTGATGTTGTTGACAAAGGGTGTTGTGGTGTTGGAAGAAACAATGGACAAATCACATGTCTTCCGTTGCAAGAACCATGTGAAGAACGTGGCAAGTATTTGTTTTGGGATGCTTTTCATCCTACTGAGTTGGCAAATATTTTACTAGCAAAGATATCATATAATTCACAATCTTATACTTCTCCTGTTAATATTCAACAATTGGCTGTGCTTTAAAAGTTGAATATGTTTTTCATATTGTTTATTTTGTGTGTTGGTGTTATGTATTGCAAAATTTGATGTTGTCTAGTATAAGAATGTTAAGTTAATTTGTATAAGTGTGAGCTGATATCAATGTGTTGTAATATTGATAATTCAATAAATATGCTTTTGCCTAACTCTAATCAATCATAAACACCATCAACATCTTCAATTTTATTTTACTTTCATAGTAGTAATAATAATAATAATAAGAAAATTTCTTTATACACCCTTACACCTTCTTAATTATTTTTGGTGAAACTTTGTTTTTATCTCAGAATTTGGAGATACATCTCCGAACGCACTACGATTTATTCTTTCTGAGATTATTTCGGAGATGTGTTGCCGAAACACTTTTTTTCTTTTCAAAATCAGGGGTGTTTCGGATATGCATCTCCGAAAAAGGTGTTTCGGAGATCCATCTTTAAAATAGGGTATTACAAAAAGAATACGAACACCCACCATTTATTCTCATATCTTCCAAAATCTAACTCTCAAACACTCTAAAACCTCTAAAAATCTCTACTTTCAAAACTAATTCAAGTTGGTGTACTCATTTACATTTGTTACAACTCACTCCAACTCTTAATTTTTATCACATTTCAACAACTCTAAAAACTTTAAATTTTAGTAAGATTAAAATTTGAAGAATTTATAACGCGTATCACCTACGTTAATGACGCCATGTTCCTCAATTTCTTTGTTGTTTATGCTTTCTAGAATTGCATACCATTCAGATTTCTCTTGGTAGCGATTTATACATAAATGGTAGATTTTGTTAGAATTGGTAATTGAACCTTTTTTTAGTGTCAATTAAACCTGAAAACTGTGGTTATAAAATCTTATTGGTATTGATAATGGTACGATAACACTACTTGTGTAGTTGAGCTATTTTTCAATACAAAGCTAGTTTGTCTCTTTGATTTAATTTAATTGTCAATCTTGATTATATGAGAGTTGTTTAAGTCTCATCGTGTTAATTCCAATTGATAAACACACTTTATATATTCACCAAAATTGTTTCCACTATGCAAAATCAATTTCAAATTTGAAACACTAATAAAACATTTTCAAATGTATTTTTAACTTGAGAGGTGTATTCACCCCATCTAGACCATTTATTATTCATATTCTCACCCAACATTACCTTGTAAGAAATGACGAGAGTCATGATCTATGTCATAATATTTTCTATTGGGTTTCTTGTTCAAATTTTTGAAAATTTTCAATTAATAAAAAACATGACATTGTGTTTGTTAAAGATGAAATTGATGTTCTCCCTAGTCTATTGAATTTTAATTATAAACTTTTTGCGAAGAAACATGTCCCAAACATTGTTCTTTTCAATATTTCACGTTTTAATGAGTTTGATATGGCTTATGATGAAAATGTTCTTGATGCCCCACTCACGAATGAGCATGTTAGAAGCCATCTATTTAAAGTTATTATGCAGGAATCTAAGACCTTACATCAAATAATCGCTACTTCAACTACCGGAAAGGATATGGTTGAAGGTCTTATTCAAATGTTAAATCCAAAATAGGAAACAACATGCAGTCAACTGAAGAAGATGAAAATTCAAATGATGATGATGATGAAAATAGTGCTACTAAAAGAAAAGAAAAATCATAAAGTATTAAAAAGAATCATCGTATTGAAAATATTACAGAAGACCTGAATAAATTCTTCATAACACGAAGAAGAGATATAGAAGAGTTTGTCCAGTTTAAAAGAAATAAAGTATGAGAACATGTTCCTTGACCAATATCCACTAATATTATTGGGATACAATGGATTTACAAGAATAATTATGATAAGAATGAAATTGTTACTAGATACAAAACACGACTTGTAACATAAGACTATACACAAATATAAGGGATTGACTTTGATGAATATTTCACTCTTATTACCACCTTGAAACCATAAGATTGTTATTAGAATTGTCTTAAGTTGAAAATGAAAAGTGTCTTTTTCAATGGGTTCGAATGTGGAAGTCTGTTAAAATGTTAGTATTGACGTCAAAGACATGAGTGACGTTATTATGAATAACAATGAGAATCTTATGGTAGTTCATATTTATGTTGATAACAATGTGTGTAAACTGATGAATACTTATGGAATTCCAAAGAAGATGTCTAAGAAGAAAAGGCCTAGCGATTAGAGGAAAGGTTGATAGTAAGTCTAGAGGTATTTCTTCTCTCGTCAAGCCTAAGGATGTTTAATGTAAAATCTGTGAAAAACATGTTGACAACTAGCAGGGGAGAATTATATAGAAGTTGGGAAGTTGTAGACACCATGTTGAAGTTGCAATTTAGGTTCAATTAGAGCATCATTTCAAAAAAATATTCTCAACATTGAGCATCGGTATAACACTCCATTTTACTTTAGATTGCACGACTTCGTTTCAAGAAAGTGTACACAACACATTGAAAAGAAACTGAAAATGTAAAATTTGCTGGTTCAAACAAAACTGCATGTGGTTGCTTCATTAAAGCAACACTACATTTTTTTCTATATCTGAACTATCTACTTAAATTTCCGTATCTGAATTATCTACATATGTCAACAATATTGATGAACTTGGTAAGGGTGCGGAAAGAGAGGGATTCGAATCCTCAGTAAACAAAAAACCTACACCGCAGTTCCAATGTCATATCTTGAATCACTCTCCCATCTGTCCTACATAATGATTATGCCCCTAAACCAAGTGAATAGTGAGACATTTATATCTCATGTGTGTAGGCGCACACAATCAATTGAACCTAAAAAAATATAAAAATTGTTGATTGTAGAATATTATTCTTGTCAAACTTAAACCTAGTTCAAATAACAAGAATTTTGATGTGAGTATTTTCTCATTCGTGTATAGATATTTTAGGAAAATTGTTATTCCTTACCCATAAAATTTGCAAAATATCCAGTATTTGAAAAATTCAGTAGTTGAACTAAAAATCAGGTAATTACATATACATTTGAAACATCCTAAAAATAGTTAGACATAAATGCAACCCTCATGTGGGGGTGTGAGGTTAATGTATTTGAAAATAGTGGTAAGCCTAAGTAGTGAAATATTGTTGAAGTGTAGCCCAAGTCGTTGAGAAGAGGAAGGTATATAAGACTGACAAATAAAAACAAGCATAAACTCAAGAGAATTTAACATCCCACCCTCAAACAACCATAGAGATTGACACATGGTAAGGAATAGAGATGACGATGATCAATACAGAAGCCGAAGCCGAGGTTATGACAGGTAAAAGTTATTTTTGGGTTTAGTGCATCGGCATCTGTTTTTTCATGTGATTTATTGGTCTTACATGAAAATTCACAATTTTAAATATTTTATTTTCAGCCAATTGTTCTTTGTCTATTCATATATTTTTCCCCAATATTTACTATCTAACTTTGTTTGGTGGTATAGACGAAGGTATCGATCTAGATCAAGGTCAAGGTCACGTTCTCGTTCACGCTCAAAAAGGTAAATTGCTTAAGATTTGTGATTAAAGTGTTCCCTAACACATAATGCATATGTTAGGTCTTCCATTTATAACATTTTGTGTTCTATTTAGTTCAACGAATAGTTAAAGGATGTGAAAGGGGAGCTAGCATAATGTTGTGAGTCCATGTGGAAGGGACTAATAATTTACTTAAGTTAATTTAAGAACCCATTTTGTTATAGTTTTCATGTCTAATATATCCTTCATAATCTAACTTAGAACAAGGCAATGTTGGGCTACTAGCCCCAATGTGCTGACAATGGGTGTGAACCAACGTATATAGCTTTTATGTCTAAGGAGGAATCAATGCCACCTATTTTTGGTGGGTCCTGTTCGCCTTCAACTGGAAACTATTACCTACTTTGGTAAACTTACGAATATTATCCCTAATGTTTGCTTACAAATTAATTATAAAGTAAATTTATGCTTAAGCTCATGCTGGCTTTAGCAGGAGTCAATTGATACCTAGTAATAATATAACAGGATTGCAAAAGATGAGTTTTTTTCTTAGATGTGATATGTTTTTGTTGCACTTGCAGGTCAAATTACTGGGGCAAGTCCTGCAATTCATGGAGTGTTCACAAATATGTTTCCCACGGCTACAAGTCATGTATTTTTCTTTTTATTCCCAAATCTGGTTGTGCTAGACAATATTTGATCAATTTCACCATATTTTTTGTTTCTCTTTTGAAGTTACAGCAATTTACTACTCTCTCTGTCTTGCCAGTTCAGGCTATGACACAACAGGTAACAGGAATTTATGAGAGATGATGTTAAAATTTTTCCCTTTTAGCATTATTACTTTGCTTTCTCTAATTTTGTCCCTTTTGTTGTACAAAACATATAGGTTACACGACATGCTAGCAGGTGTATGTTGGGAGCCTCTCTCCTACAGCTAATGAGCAGGTAATATAGAACAACACATTATGATCTTTCCCTGTTGGTTTCTGAATGAGAATGGCCAAGCTAGTTTCTTGTTTGCTAAATTCCCTCTTTGCCATTTAGTTTCCAATTTCCATGTTTCATAAGATATTGAAGCTTTTTAGAGTATTTTACTGGCTTAGTGCACATTCTCTATTACTGTTTATTGTGATTTGAGTAAAAGCATGGTTAAGTGGAGACCACACCCAAGTTTTTTTATCTGGTTTTGTTTGTACTACTTTTGAATTTTAACTTTTGGCTTCTAAATTTGATATGCTGCAGTCAGTTTCAACTTTCTTCAGTCAGGTTATGGCTACAATCGGAGGAAACACTTCTGGTCCAGGTACATTATGATCTTAAATTGATTCTGCCAGTTTGTTGACCTTATAGTATTCCTAATTGATTTAATCTTATTGTGAAGGTGATGCCGTTGTGAATATTTACATTAACCATGATAAGAAGTTTGCCTTTGTGGAGATGAGGTCCATCGAGGAAGCCAGCAATGCAATGGCTTTAAATGGAATTATTTTTCAAGTATCTTCTCCTTTTTACTATAACTGGTTCTCAAGATCTATTTGTTATGTGAGAATACGAGTATGTATGTGTTGTACCCCAAAAATTTCCCTCTCATTTTATCAAGATTTTCCTCACAAGACTCTTTGGACTCAAAACCAGATTAGGGTTTGCTCAGCTCAAGACATCTCCTTGCACTGATGACCTGAAATTAGGGTTTGAGTTTGCACAAGGATTTTTGGACTTCCAATGCCTCATGTGACTTTCATACTTCATGTTGGACCTCTAAGATTGCTCATGCCAAGTTTCAAGCCTTGAATCACATTTTTGCCCAGTCAATTGGACAGTTGACCTAAAAATCAACTGTATTGGGGAAAAAGTCAGTTGTGGTCAATTTACAGTCAAACCCCATATTTTTTGATCCACATCAACATTATAGACTCATATGAACCATTTTATCAAGTTTGGACCATAAGTCCTCAAGAAATTTGCTCAGATCTTCAAAAGGGCAAAATGGTCATTTTTAGGGTTTTGAGTGTAGAAGGGCAATTTCTGATTTTTAACCTAGCCAATGGCAAATTGGGTTGAAGCATGGATTCAAGGACTCAATGGCATCATCTTGACCTAATCACAAGGTTCAAAAGATCTCAATTGCATTGGATTAACAAATGAATTTTCCAGTCAACTGATTAAAAATCAACTGTACACTGAAAAGTCAAACTTTGACTTTTTGGTCAAAATCAAGTGCCAAGGGTCATTTTTCATAAAGATGTGTCAAAACATGAAACTTGTTCACCAAGAAACCTAATTTTGAAAATTAGGGTTTAAGTTTGAAAAATTTCATAACTTAGAAATTTTCTAAGTTATGAAAATTTCTTATTTTTTCCCAACTTTTCCCAACTTTTTCACCATGATGCAATTGGATTCAAAGAAAACTTCCAACATGAAAGTTGTATTCCTCCATGAAATATACAACTTTGATTCACAAAGTTTTCCCAAAAGATGCTTGGATCTCAAGTTATGATTTTGTAAATAGAGGTCCAAAAACTTTTTAACTTAGTGAAATTTTGCCCTAGTTTAGGCAGATTTTTGACCTAACTTCATGGCAACTTTTCACCTAGTTCCAAGTGTAATCTCAAAATGAATTTCAAAGATGGATTGTAGAGCATGTTACAAGATTTCCAAAATATCCAAGAACTCTCCAAGATCATTTATGGTTAGGGAGAATCGAAAGTTTGAAAATGGCCATTTCTCACTTTTGTCCAAGGCATTTTGCACCATGTTACAACTTGCAAATCAGTTTGAATCATGCTTGTACTTGCATTAAAGGATCTAATCCTCTTTACACTCCAAAATTGAATGCAAATACAATGGTTAATAGTATTGTTTTGATCTTTGAAACTTTGTACAAAGGTTTAATCCAAAAATGGCATAAAGGTAGCCTTACTACTTTGATAAAGTTAGCTTTTACAAACTTTGTTTATCTTGAGCCATGAACCTAACCAACTTCTATAAACAAAGTCCACCAACTTGAGGCAAAGTACACCAACTGTGTTCAGGCCTTGAGCTAGCCTGTACAGGCTGTGAGCTTTGTCAACTCACTTTTGCTTCAAAAACAAGAAACCTTGCAAAAGGTCCACAACTTGTGCATTTGTTAAAACCAAGCTTTGGTATCATTTTAAACGACCAAAACATATTGTCTCAAGCCAGAAACACGAGTTGCCAGCTTCTCAAACCCTCAAAAACACCAAGTTCCTGCCCAAACAGGGCATCATCTGCAGAACCACTTCCAAAACAAATTTTCCTCGTGCGTTTTGCTTGAAACCACTTCAAACACATTCCTTACAACCCACCTGAACTATCCAAGCCCTTCTCAAGCAACTGTAACTTCATTTTCACACTTCACCATTTTCACTTTGAAGCTTTGCAGGTTGAGTTCTACAAGCCCATTCAGGCAAGTTTAAGACAAGCTAAGCATTGGGAAAGGTCGAGGGAACTTCAGGCAAGCTAACACGACCTTTAGGCCTCACCCCAAACTCCTACATTTCCATATCCAAACTTGGCTGAAACAGGTATTTGTCAAGATTCTAACTCCTTATTTAGGCATCATTAAGCTTAGGTTTGTGAAGCAAAAATGTAGTCTTTAAGTTGCTTGAACTGTACATATGCATAACTTCCATTTATATTAACTGAGCTAGGAGAATTTAGATGTTAAACATGCTGAAAAAGTTAGGTTAGAATTTAGGGCCACTGAAATTCTCTCTGGTCTTTGAGAGTTAGATCAAGTTTTTTATATGGTTGCAATCGTGATTGAAAATGCTATAACTTTCACGTTGTAAATTTTTGATTTCATGCAAGCATGAGCAAGAACAGGTTTGAGTTGCAGAACACATGTTTTGGGATGAAGCAAGGTCAGGGACGAAGCTAGCTGGGCCTGACGCTTGGGCTTTGTTCTTTTGACACCCCCCATTTTGTTATTTGCACCCCTGACCCTTTTTCTTTATTTTTGCATATTTTTTCATATCTTTTTTATTTTCTGACTTTATTATTTTTTCTTGAACATTTAAAATCACAAAAAATATTTTCTTTATTTTTGGCATTTTATCATATTTTTATTTTATTTTTATTTGCATAATAAATAATTATTAGGTTAATATTACTTTATTTTCTTAATTAAAACTTTTAAATAATATTAAAATACTTACATATTTTATTTTATTATATTATACATATAAAATAATATTTTCTTACATATTTTATTTTTTAACATTTTTTATATATTATTTTATTATTTCTTTGTACATAAATGAAATAAAATAATATTAGAATATATTTTCTTTTAAAACAAAACTAGGGTTTCCACCCTTTCCAAAAATAATCATTTTTATTTTCTTATTTTTAAGACATAAATAAATTTATTTTACATACATAAAATAAATACAAAAAATATTTTTTGCATACTTACATTTATTTGCATATTTAAATATTTGCTTATTTATTTATTTGTGCAATATTTCAATTTGGTTGTAATAATAGTTTTAGGGTTTTATTTTGAGCAATATCCCCTTATTCAAACTTGTACCCCCCTTCCCATAATATTGTGTAATAGTCTAGATTTACTTTTACGTATTTTATCGCTTTCAAATGCCATGATAGTAAATTAGGGTTTTGTATGCAAAGACCAAAAATCAAAACAAACAGCATGACTAAACACAAGACAAAAATGCATGAAAAATGACAACACAATGCACACAAGCACCCCTAGGGTTTCATCCACTTTGTTGCCTTAAAATGGCCATGGTATGCATGCTAGGCATCTTAGCAAAACAAAACAAAACAAAAAGATCATAGTCCCTCAATGACGCTATCTTGGTTGCCTAAACAAAAATGATCTAGTCCATCAAAAAACTTGCTAAGATACTTGGCACAATTGCTATCATGGTCATACGATGACCCACACCCGTCCCGTTTAACATCCAAAGATAGGGTTATTTACCAAATTCAATGGTAAAACAACAATGTCAAAGGAATAAAAATGTGTAGGAAAGATCTTTGAGTAGGGTAGACAACTCCTAGTTACTTGATCAATTTGCAAACCATCCTTGCTATTTTCAAACAAACACTCACACAATTTCAAAACATTTCCCAACAAACTTTCAAACATTGAAACATTTTTCAAAAGACAAACACCTTTGTATACATTCAAACAAGAATCATTACAAAGGTTGCCTAAAGAAAAGGCCTCTTTTCAAAATACTTTCAAAACCACACACAAAAGCACCATTTCAAACAATTGAAAAGCAAAAGCAAGTGATCTAAAACAAGTAACTAAGAGCCCATGGAAAACCATGGATGAAAAGGGTGCTAGCACCTTCCCTTTTCATAATCTACCCCCCGAACCCAAAAACAATCTCAAAGGTCTTTCCTGTGCTTTTTTATCTTTCCTTTTGGATAAAATAAAAGTCGGTGGCGACTCTTGGTAAACCGAAACATTAGCGAACAAAAAACGTAAAACCTCAAGTCAGTTCTCCCACCGTATCACAGTATGTTACTGTTAATCAATTTCATTTTTGATTCAGGATGCACCAGTTAAAGTCGAGAGACCTACTGATTATAATCCTTCTCTAGCTGCTGCCCTAGGTCCAAGCCAACCTAACCCAAACCTTAATTTGAGGGCAGTCGGCCTATCACCTAGATCTGCTGGGGGACTTGATGGTCCTTATCAGATTTTTATTGGTGGAGTTCCTTATTACTTTACTGAAACACAGATTAGAGAGCTTTTAGAGACTTTTGGTCCTTTTCGGGGTTTCGATCTAGCGAAAGATAGAGAAACATGGAATTCAAAGGGTTATGCATTTTGTGTTTATCAAGATATTTCCGTTACAGATATTGCTTGTGCAGCTCTCAATGGAATAAAAATGGGTGATAAGACCCTTACTGTTAGACGTGTCAACAGAATTATTGGCAATAATGAGCTAATTATTAGAAATAATTTTGTTGAGATTTTACATTTATTTGTAATATTTATTTTCTTAATTAACATAATTAGCTGTAAATGTAAATATGACAGTTTAGCTTATTTAGTGGGTTGAAATTCAACCTGACAGCTTGTAAGTACAATATTTAAATGACAGATCAGAATGAAAACAAAGATACAGTTTTTTTGGCTAAATTCTTTCTTAGTTAACATGGTACCAGACTAGGTTAAAATCCAAGAACCTAATTTGTTTTTTTCTCACGATCTCATTTCATTTTTATTCATGTTCTCATTTTTTCTCTTCTGTTTCTCGCTCAATTCGCCGTTCTTGTTCAATTCATATTTCCATAGATCCATGTCTACCGAAAAACATGAAGTATTGTTGGTTCACCTTAATGGAAAAAACTACAATCAGAACAACACCGCTCGAAGGTTCCAGCTTGAACATGACATAGCTCTCTTTAAATAGGATAGTCTCTCCATCTCTGATTTTTACTCTCAATTCATGAATTTGTGGGCTGAATACACCGATATAGTTTATGTAGACTTGACTCCTGAAGGTCTAAGTTTTGTACAATTTGTTCATGAAACTACTAAACGAGATCAATTTCTTATAAATTGAGATTTGAATTTGAAGGCATTCGGTCCAATCTCATGCATCGAAATCCTATCCCATCATTGGATGCGTGTTTCAATGATCTGTTACATGAAGAACAACGTCTTCTTACGCAGTCTATCATTGAAGATAAAAATTTATCTACTGTTCCAGTGGCATATGTAGCACAAGGAAAGTCAAGAAGTCATGACATGAGTTCTGTTCAATGTTTCTGTTGCAAACAATTGGGACACTATGCTTCAAACTGTCCATTTTTTTGAAACTATTGCAAAAAAGATGAACATATTCTTAAGGAATGCCCAATCAGGCTACCAAAGAGAAATGTAACATCTTTTACCGCCTCAGTTGATTCATCTATTCCTAACAATTCAGCCAATCCAGCACCAGTTCAACAAAATGCTTATACTACTACTTCAATAGTGACCCCTGAAATGGTTCAAAAAATGATCGTTTCAGCATTCTCTGCTCTAGGATTCTCAAGTAAATCCTCTTCTTCCTGGTACTTTGATTAAGGGGCTTCCAATCACATGACCAACAATGCCCAATTTCTTACTAATATCAAAAAATATTTTGGAAATCTCAAGATACATACTGTTGATGGAAATCAATTACCTATCACATCCACTGGTGATATTTCTTCATATCTAACAAATGTTTTTGTCTCTCCTGGTCTCACTAGTAATCTCATTTGTGTTGGTCAATTAGTCGAGAATGATTGTCAAGTACAATTCTCACAATCTGGTTGTCTTGTGCAGGACCAACAATCAGGGAAGATAATCGTGAAGGAGCCTAAAGTTGGACGTCTTTTCCCAATTCAGTTCTCATTGCCTCCAAGTCTTTCTCTTCCTTTAGTTTCGTGTAATTCTGCTATTGTTGATTACCAAGTGTGGCATAAGCGTCTTGGACATCCAAACACAAATGTACTTCATGACTTGCTAAAATCTAGTTTTCTTGGAAATAAACACATTCCATCTCTTAATTATGTTTATTTTGATTGTATTCCTTGTAAGCTTGGTTAAAGTAAAATTTTGCCTTTTCCAACACATCAGTCTAATGTAACTCAATTTTTTGATATCATCCACAATGATGTTTGGGGCATGGCACCAGTTATATCTCATGCTAATTAAAAATATTTTGTAACTTTTATTGATGATTATAGTCGTTTCACATGGGTCTATTTTTTGCGATCAAAAGATGAAGTCTTTTCAACTTTCAAATTTTTTCATGCTTATGTTCAGACCCAATTTTCATCAAAAATAAAAATATTTCGCTCTGACAATGGAGGGGAATACATGTCACACTCATTTCAGGAATATTTGCATTCCAATGGCATTATATCTCAAAGGTCATGCCCCTAAACTCCACAACAAAATGGAGTAACGGAAAGAAAAAATCATCATTTGCTCGATGTTCTCCACACCTTTTTGTTGGAGTCTCATGTGCCTTCACGATTTTGGTGTGAAGCCCTTTCCACCGCTGTCCATCTTATAAATAGAATGCCTTCTCCTTCAATAGGTAATGAATCCCCTTTCATTCGATTATATGGTCACCCACCAAATTACTCCACTCTTCGTATCTTCGGTTGTGTGTGTTATGTTCATCTTACTCCACAGAAACGCACCAAGCTCACTGCATAATCTGTTGAGTGTGCTTTTCTCGGATATTCTCCTCATCAAAAGGATTTTCTATGTTATGATCCTAACCTTCGTAGGATTCGTGTATCTAGAAATGTCATTTTCCTAGAAAATAAATATTTTTTGCATCACATCATGACTCCGTCTCTTCTCTAGTTTCCGTTTTGCCATTGTTTTCTAACTCTCATTCAGGTCAACAATCTTCTAAACCTCTCTTGACCTACAAAAGACGTAGTGCTGCCACTCAAAATCAACCAACGCATGAGCCCCTCAAGATAATTTCTTGGTTGTTGGTCAAGTAGAAGAAGAACCAGAACCAGCTCCTCTACGACGCAACTAACGCGATAAAAACCGCCAGAAAGGTATATCAATTGTATGACAACATCATTATCTTCTATTCCTATTCCTTCATCTTATAAACAGGCCATGGAGAATGATTAGTGGCAGAAAGCTATTGAAACAAAACTTCTTTCCCTGGAAGAAAATCAAACTTGGGATATAGTTCCATGTCCCTTAACCGTTAAACCTTTAGGCAGCAAGTTTGTGTTCTCCATAAAGTTGCGCTCGGATGGATCCATAGATCGATACAAGGCTCGTTTAGTTGTACTTGGAAATAAGCAAGAATATAGACTTGACTATGATGAGACGTTTGCTCCGGTTGCCAAGATGACAAATGTACACACTATTCTTGCTATTGCTGCGTCACAATCTTGGCCGCTACATCAAATAGATGTTAAAAACGCATTCCTCCACGGTGATCTTCAGGAGGAAGTTTACATCAAACTACCTAATGGTATGCCTACACCTTCACCTAATACTGTTTGCAAACTAAAATGATCTTTATATGGATTGAAACAGGAAACGAGAGTTTGGTTTGAAAAGTTTCGATCGACACTACTTGGTTTTGAATTTAACCAAAGTCAGTATGATCCATCTCTTTTCCTACAAAGGACTCCTAAAGGCATTGTGGTGCTTCTTGTTTATGTGGATGACATTGTCGTCACAGGTTTTGATCAAGATGCTATTTCTAAAATCAAACACTTGCTGCATTCAACTTTTCAAATGAAAGAGTTAGGCCATCTTACTTATTTATTGGGTTTAGAGGTGCATTATCATCATGAAGGTGTTTTTCTAAATCAACAAAAATATATTCAAGACTTGGTACATCTAGCTGGACTCACAAATACAACCCCTGTAGACACTCCCATGGAAGTTAATGTTAAATATAGAAGAGATAAAGGTGACCTTCTTGATGATCCCACTCAGTATCATAAACTGGTAGGAAGTCTTATCTATGTCACTATCACTCGCCCAAATATTTCTTTCGCTGTACACACAGTTAGTAAGTTCATGCAAGCTCCACGACACTTCCATCTTTCAGCGGTACAACGAATCATTAGATACCTCCTTGGCACTCCAAAGCGAGGCTTATTTTTTCCTGTTGAGTCATCAATCAAACTCCAAGCATATAGTGATGCCGATTGGGCTGGATATCCAGACACAAGAAAATCTACTACTGGCTGGTGTATGTTCCTAGGAAATGCTCCTATTTCATGGAAATGTAAAAAACAAGATTCAGTCTCAAAGTCATCCACTGAAGCAGAATATCGCGCAATGTCTGCCGCTTGTTCTGAAATAATATGGTTGCATGGTCTTCTTAGTGAGCTTGGATTCTCTCAACAACAACCAACTCCGCTGCATGTTAACAATACCAGTGCCATTCAGATTGCAACAAATTCAGTTTACCATGAACGGACGAAACACATCGAAGTTGATTGTCACTCTATTCGAGAAGCCTATGATAGAAGAGTCATAAATCTACCACATGTCTCAACATCTGTTAAAATAGCTGACATTTTCACTAAAACCTTGACACGTCAGCGACACAATTTTCTACTTGGCAAATTGATGCTTGTAGATTTACCAGCATCAATTTGAGGGGGATGTCAACATAACTATTGGCAATAACGAGCTAATTAGAAATAATTCTGTTGAAATTGTACATTTATTTGTAATATTTATTCTCTTAATTAACATAATTAACTGTAAATATAAATATGACAATTTAGCTTATTTAATGGGTTGAAATTCAACCTGACAACTTGTAAGTACGGTATTTATATGACAGATCAGAATGAAAACAAAGATACAGTTTTTTGACCAAATTCTTTCTTACTTAACAAGACGAGCTAATCAAAACACAAAGCCATTGCAGGCAAAGCCTGAGCAAGAGAGCATTTTAATGCATGCAAAGCTATATAACTTAAATATAAATTTGGTAATTTCCGGTCTTTCCTTGCAATATGTCTGTTTTACAGCCTCTTGCTGACTGCAGTCACATAGATAATCAAACCCTCCAAAACTTCCTATCTCTATGCATACTTATTTCATTGAAAGCTTTTAAAATGTGCATACTTAACTGTTTTCCTTTACACAATCTGCAGGTAATTTGGTGAATGTGGTGATTCCTCGCCCACGACCCCATGGTGAACTATGCCCTGGAGTTGGATTCTTCTGATCTATTCTGTTCCCTTTTGTCTCGGGGGTCATATTCATAATCTTTAATCATGATAGTCTTTCTATTTTTTGTTTTATTACTAATTGTTATTCTAAAATAGATAAGCAAATAACACTATTAAATTCATATCATCATATAACAATACACCAAAGATATAAATAGTCTCTAAATATAGTTCCTTACACTAATTGTAAATAATAACAATTGAAAAGATACAAAAATTGAGATGAAACATGAAGATTCTCACACATAGACACAATTATAGTTGAGCAAGTTGCTGAATGTTCATAGGGTAAACAAAGTTGGTGTTGCCAATAAAAGCCATTCTTCCCATCAAAATGTTAACTGCTTCTGTTGGATGAAATGCATCCCAAAACACATATTGGTTTCTATTAGCACATGGAGTTTGCATGGGTAGACAAGTAATTTGACCTCTGTTTCTTCCAAGTCCACAACACCCTTTATCCAATTCAGTAAATCCTACACACAAAAACACTTAAATATTAGTCTCATAATAACCATAGACATAATACTTAACATTTTACTCTTCAAAATCGAAAGTATATAAGTTATTTGACACTGATACTGACACATAGACATAGGATTATGTTTTGATTCATACCATAGGATCTAGCATTGGAAAGTATCTCTTGGAACATGCGAGTACTATCGATGAATATGAATTTAGAATCGGGTAGATTATTATTGAGATTGCCCAACATGGTCTTCACATTTTCATTGAAGGGTTGCACTAACATGTTCACATTTTCAGAGCAACTTCCACTCAAGCTTTGAGACAATATGCTTGGAGTACATCCCAATAACCCTAATCCCGCAATCGCAAATCTCCTTGCTCCAAGTTGATAAAGTCTCTATCATATCACACACACATCATCATCATAACACAAGATAAGAAAATACGTTCAAAATCTATTCTTATAATCAAATTTTTTTCTCATTCATAATTCGTATTACAATGAGTTTGTCAGAATTACGATGAGTCAGTGTAAATTGCGAAGAAACTTACGTTGAGTTGGTTGTTATATGTTTGAACCAAGAGATTAGCATATTGTTGTCCATTGAACTGATTTCTAGTGTTATAATTAGGCATAAGATAATTGTTTAGATAATCATTGCTTCCCATCCCAACAAAGAATATGCATCTTGCAAGTTGTGATGCCAAATTAACTGGTCCAATATTTCCTCTAATTTGATTCAATGTGTCCTCAAAGTTCCTAAGTTGTTCATCAAATGGTATCCGCCCGACCTGCGGTGACAAAAATTGATTTTGAACGAATTAATTATCTTGAAATTGATATGAGTTAAAAAATCGAGCCGAATATAAAGTGATTTATGTTTTCACTGACAAAGTTTCTTCCGGTGGCATCAAGAATTCCAGCAGCAGCTGAAGCATAATTTACCCCTTCAAGCACTTCATTCCCCGTGGCTCCATTGTATGCAGGAATTAGAGGAAGTCCAAGCAATTCAGCTGCATTCATAGGAAGATAAAAGACCGATGAAACCTCTCAGTTATGGTTCAATTGATTCAAACTTTTTGTCAAGTAATAAAATAAATTAATATAATTCAAACAAATAAAGATTAGTTCAATCAAATGTAGTTCAACTAATTCAAACTATGATATCATCGGAATTACAAACTAGTTGGTTCCTAGATCAACTGGTTCGATTTTTAAAAGATCGATTAATTTTGTAATTTTTTTATAAATTAATACTAAAATGTAGGTTGAAAAATTATTTAATGTTAGTTATATGATGCGACAGATATTTATGATAGTATGAAAATGATTTTTGTTTGTTGTTGATAGGTTTAATTAATCTACCTAATATGAGTAGACATTGCAACATGTCCTATTTAATGCATTATCAATTTTAAGAAAACCATGAAAGTGATTTGTCTAATCTTTTGGTCATGTTCACCAAACAGAAACTAATTCATTGAAGAGAAAGTCACAATTAAATCATGCTTAAATAAAATTTTAAAATATATTTGTATCAATTAAAGTATAAATAAATAAGATTCTTTTTGTTGTCACGATTTAAACTTCTAAGACTTTAATTGACTTTATCTGTTCAGACAAAAAGTTTTTAAGTAAGAAATTTAAATTTTAAAATAGATTTGTCACAGATAAATTATAGGTAAATAAAATTCTTTTTGTTGTTACGATTTAACAATAACTAACTTACAAAGGATTTCTAAAACACTAATCGATTTTATCTGTCTAGACAAAAAGTCTTTAAGTAAGGAATCTAAATGTTTTTCACTACCAACTATAGCTAAATTACAAACTAGAAGAATATTTGTATACTAACTAAGGTTGTATACACTTGTAAATCCTACTATAAAATTTTAATCATGCATGTGAAAATTAAAACTATACAACAAAGAAATGGAAGTAGTATACCTATTTCATCAACAATGGTGTAACCATTAGAGAATCTACCGGTTGGACCTCCATTGAAATCAATACCATATGGATAATAATTAGCCTTAGCTAAAGAAGCCATGTTATTGTTGTTACCATTATCAATAAGTGAGTCACCAAATATGAACATGGCAGGAACATTTTGGCCTTTGATTATTACACCATTCAAAACCATGAAAATCACCAAGAATATTGAAGATACTTCAACAAATTTAGCCATGGAAATTTGTAAAGAAAAATAGTTACTGTATTGAGATGAATGTGTTTGAAATGAAGGAGAGGGAGAGTTTAATATAGGAGATGATTGTACAGACGGTGAGGTTGAAAAATAATTAATGTTTTCATCTGTTTTGTACGTTTGCAGTAATTATTGTACCACCCTATATATATATATATATATATATATATATATATATATATATATATATATATATATATGAGAAATAATAAAAAAGAAAAAGTAAAGAGAAACATATTTGTAATAAAAAAAGTTGAAAAAAAAACATTAGGTCTTAGTTGAATTGAATTGAACGAGCTATTATTGTTATCTAAAAGAAGATGATAAGTATTCTTTCTTGTTAATATATAGATATTTTCTATATATAATTGTAAAGATTAATTTTTCGAGTTTAAAAAATTATAATAGATAATAAAATTCTTTTTCAAAAATTTTAACATTCTTTAACACTATTTTATGTTCAAAATTAAGTTCGAATCTAAAAACTCTAATTAAATTGAAAGAAACTCTTACCACTCAACTCTCAAATAAAAGATGGTAAGAATGATAATAATAAATGTATGTTGTGAAAAAATATTATATATAGTGCAATTTTATCACTTTGAATCATTAAAGCTAATTTATTCAAACTTGTGTGTGTGTTTTTTATTTTATTTTATGGAAATCACGGCGAGGACGTGTGGATAGATAGGTTGAAGCTCCAAATATTTGCTTCACAGAGTCGCTATGGGGATAAGATGATAGCCATGCGAACGCTCCACTGATTGATGAGAAAAGAATATACATTGTGTGTTATTTTTTTATATAATTGTATAAGAAAGAGAATAAATTTGTTATCTTTTAATTGGACCAAATCATAATAACATAGACTAGCCCTGACTAGACATGGACTTATGGTCTTGTTCTGAATCCTACAACTCACAACCCAAGCCTAAACATGCAAATATCTGCAAATGCACATGGTGTCCATAGTAAATGCATATCCGTATTAGTCAACACCTCGTTGTTCAAGGCCACCATTGAAGGATACATTTCTAACTATTATTCTTGTATAATGGCTACACTAATGCCAAAATAGGGGTGGAAGCAAGTGTCCAAACACTAAACACTCCGATTTTTTTTATCATAGCACATCATTGAATCACTCTATCACCCATCTAAATATAATAGAGTTTTGTTCATAACATACTAATACTATTAGTAAGATCCATCCCATCTAATTGAGTAGGAAAACTTAGCGTCCATTATGAGACCGTGATAAAGACAACAATTTTGATGTACAAACAATTAAGACGATGACACAAACTCAACCCCAACATGACAAGATGAAGATCTTAATGAAAATTTGAGTCATTATAGACGAATTAAGGTGTCAAAATGAGACTCTGTAGACCAAATTTATGAAATTCGACAAGAAAAACCTTGATGAAAATTTATTGGATCCTTAACCTATGTGTCAAGAAATTTAAGAACCCATGTTCAAGAGAACTTTAAGCCTCCTCATTTGGATATCTTCGATAGAAAAAGAGACCACAATAACACTTGAACGCAATCAACACAAAAATGACTATAATTGAGGAAACAGAGTCACAAAAGTATAAACTCTTGTCAGACACTCTGAGGGATGTTTCACTTTGATAGTACATGAATTTATCTCGATATTTCATTACAAGATACACTGACATTTTGAAAAAAATGGTTCACTAAGTTTTAGGAAGCAAACACTAAAAGGTGGTTACGATAAGTCTATTCAACGCCTCTCAAGGTCACTCCAAACCCCTCAAAGAATATATCGCCCGGTTCGACAAAGCCACCATATGAGTCGTCAATCCAAACCAGGAGATGTTCGTAAAGATGTTCAAGAACAAGTTCAAGCCTAGACATTTCAACAAATCTCTGACGCAAAAACAACTAGCATGTAAGAAGTCATGAAGCACTCTTAATGCTATACCAAAGGAAAATCGAGCAACACCAAAAAGAAAATAAAAGTGCCAAAGAAAAGGAACCAAAACAAAGGATAATTATTCATTGAGACACTGAGATAATCAATAGAGAAATAGACCAAAGTTTTGACATGATGATAAAAGATAATATGGATTTATAACGACTCAGATGGATTCAAGAAGGAGTCGATTGTTGAAGGAAATCATGTATGTGAGATTTTTGGATGAGCCACCTAAACCAAAAGATTAGATGGGCCCTAATGAGAGTTAGTGGTGTTCTTACCATCATGAAAATGGACACGACATCAACAACTGCTATCAACTAAAGAGAGAAATTGAAAGTCTGATATAAAGAGAATACCTGAAGAAGTACATAGAAAAATCTTAACCATAGACAAGCATAACAAGAGAAAAGTCAGCCAGTGTGATCGGTGGATCTGGAACTGACTGTTTAACGCTGGTTCGCGAAATGTCGCGGAAGCAAGAGTCGCCACCGTCTTTTATTTTCTCCAACATGGACAGGACAAAAGCACAGCAAAATTCCTTATGAGATTGTCTCTCGGTTCGGGAGGTAGATTTATAGAAAGGGAAGGTGTTAGCACCCTTTCTATCCATGGTTATCCATGGGCTCTTAGATACTTGCTCATTGTGTTTTCAAAAGGTTTGCTTTTCAATTGTGAGTGAGTTTGAAAAAGTTTCGTTTAAAGATTTCAGTTCGACTCTTGTATCAGTCCTCAAGAGTGTTTGAAAAATTGTTTTGGAAAGCTTTTTGAAAGTGTCGGTGTGAAAAGAGTTTTGATTTATTTTTGAAATAGAGCAAGTATCTACGAGTCATCTACCTACCCTAAGGAATTAGGCTGTGTAAATGTCCTTAAGGTAGTGCCATCCCACCATTGAGAGGTAGGTAGCACCACCGTTGGAGGTGTTCGGGTCAATTCGTTTGTAGGGACAGTGTGGTCACCAGAGCAACAGTAGGACACCTTAGAAGCTACCCTTATGCCATTGATTCTTTTTAATTCCGAGGCAACCGTTTCGAGGCAACTGGATCATGTCATGGACATAAGGACTTACTAAAACGTCCTATATTCGACGACCACGTTTCGAGGGCAAGGCAACAATGAGGCGTACCCTAAGAGTGGTGTGTGAATTTGTGTGTTATTTTCATGTTAATGTTATCTTGTACATGTATCATGGTGATCTACGCTTGTTTTTAATTTAGGCCATACATTCTCATGCAAAGTTTAGCAGTTTTAAGAGTGCGGAAATTTAAATGCGGAAAGTAAAATCCTACGCTATTACAAGGCGCGGGTCTATACATCGCCAAATTAACAAAGACCCGTTTTGAATAAAAATGCGGAAAGTAAAGACGGAAAGATAAACCTAATTACTATTACATCTGAGAAACAGTTACATAATGATCGAAAGAAATAATGCGTGAAAAGAATTAAAATTAGGACGTCCGAGGGTTTTGACCCTTTGCATGAAATTAAATTAAATTAAAATCCAATTAATTATTTAATTAAAGAAAAGAAAGTGTTTTAGTGTTTTTTGTATTTATGAAAAATAAAGAAAAAGAATTAAAAGGAAACCTTAAATCTAGATTATTTTAATTATGAATGAAAATATTAAAGTTAACCTAATTTACTAGTTAATTAATTTACTTACATGTTTATTTACAAAATTAATGATAATTAATAATAATGATAAATAATGATGATTAATAATTTATTTAAGAAAAAGATGAAAATGTAAAAAAAACCTAATTCTAGATACTTTTTACTTATTAAGAAAAAGATTAAAGTTTAAAAACCTAAATTAAACTAAGTTAATTGTTAGAGTTTATTTAAAAAAAAAATAGGTTAGTGCTGAAATTAATAATAATTAAAGATATTTAAATTTTTGATTTTTCTGTTTTTATTATAGAAAATTATTTTATGGTAAAAAAAACAATTAAAACAATTAAAAAAGAATTAGAAAAGAAAAGAAAATAAAATTAAAAAGGATGCAAACCAATGGGGGTTTCAGGCCCAAGGGGAGGTTTTTTGAAGTATTCTGGCCCATTAGACAAAAAGTCTTGTTTGACTTTCTGGCATCACGTGCGTGTTCATTGACTCCTGAGTATCGTGGTCTGCATTCTTTGGCCATTGGATTGAGTTTCATGGCCATTTGTGTTCTGGCTGTTGGCCATTTGTGTTCTGGCCTCAACGTTCCTTAATCTTCTCAGGATGTCTGTCTCGCCATGTATTGATGTCATGCATAAGTTGTTCTTTTGGCCATTTGGCTTTTGGCTTTTGGCTTTTGGCTTTTGGCTTTTGGCCATTTGGCTTTTGGCCTCAACGCCCCTTAATGAACCTGCATGGGATCCTGTCTAAATCTACAGTGTTGAATCTCATGAACACATTAAATAAAATCATAAAATGCAAATAAAGCCAATATATGAAGAAATTTAATGTTTAGGCACAATATGACATGTATGAATGATTATACCCTTTTGATCATGGAGATCAAATCAATCTTACCCTTACTGGAAAAGTAGTGACATGAATGCTTTTATGCCCTTTTGATCATGGAGATCAAGCCAGCCTTACCCTTACTGAAGAAGTAGTGAGGTGTTGGTTTGTAACTGTGATGGCTTGTTTGTAGTGAGAGAGGGATTTGTAATAAGGATTTCAAGGTTTTAGGATTCTTGAAAGAATTTGATATTCTAACAGTGTTGTGGCAAGGTTTTTTCTCTCTTTTTTTCTCCTCCCTGGTTTGTGTGAAAAGAAGGTGATTATATAATGGAAATTAGGGTAAAGAAAATGGGCTTTGAATGTGCAATTGGGCCTCCAATATTCACTTGAGTTCTTCACTTTCCAGACTAAATCGCAGGGACTTAAGTGCAATTTTTGAAGTTGAAATGTGAAAACAAAATGTAGCCTATATCGAGAACTAACTCCTGTCCGAAAATCGGCTCAATCGGATAAACGGTGAATTAGTTATGAATTTTTGAAGTTTCAGCTCAGACAAACTTATTTTGGGCTCTAGTATCGACTCTGA